AAGGCTTTCAAGGACTAACTTTAGTGCCCATAACCAGTCATTAAAAACAGAAAAGGGGAAGAGATAGAAGTGCTCATGACAAAGCAATGAAGTAATGATTAAGAATCCCCCCAAAAAGACTACATTCACAAGGGAAATAGAAGAAAATCAAGAAAGATTTACTATTATATTCCTCAGAATTTTTTTTTTTGAGAGGATTTTGCTATAGGGCACATATACTTGCCAGAAAGACAGAGACAGACAGACAGAAAGTGAGAAATCATCCCCCCCCAGGGGGATTGGTCATGCCACAATCCCTTTTCCTCCATTCTCTTCTCATCTCAGGATCTTAGGCACACATGCACACACACCTGGCATGAGTTTAAGCTACCAGAACCGAGACTTGAACCGTGGTCAACTACATGGGAGTCTAGCGACATAGCCATTACGCCAACTGCTGGTTCCCAGAAATCTTTCAAAAAGTCAACTTGAAACTGGAGTGTGTCTGAGATACTTCAACCTGCATTTTACATTTTCTAAATATTTTACATGTCCTTTAGTTTGTATTATAGTTGCATTTTTAAAGCTAAAATGTATGACTTTACTATTGTTTTCAGTACATCTAAGGGATGTTATAAAATCACTTAAGGAATAAATGTACACAGAAGTTAATAGCGATTTTGCAACACCAATGGTAACCATTTCTTACAATAAAGTTCAAAATGAGCCCTATGTATTTTTATTGAAAAAGAAATCTAATCTATAATTATTCAAATTTCAATGTAAGGGTATAATACTGATTTTATTACATGGTTTATTAAAAATGTACATGGCCATCATTGCTCCTTTTGTGAGATGCTATTGTATTGCTTACAGCATATAGTGTTTGAGGGCTTGCTAATTTTTACCTTGTCTGTCATTTTTTTAAAATTATTTGATATTATTTATTTTTTTTTTTTCAATTTGATGAGAGAGAAAAAAAGAAGTATGCCAGATCTGGGACTAGAACCACCACTGATCATATGGGAGTCCACCACCCTACCACCATGCCATCTGCTAGCCCCTTCTCTGTCATTCTTAGTCACTATACATATATCAGTAAAATCGACAATATATAAAGATGATAATATTATATCATGCATTAACAATTATTCCATTGGTTTACAAATTCCATTATCATTTATTACATGATAAAGGGTATGGTCTAACTGAACTTACGAATGGCTGAACTATGCAACATGAGACATTTGAGGTAGTAATTTAGTTTCCTCATAATGATTCAGATTTCCAGTTCTCTTAATATGTACACAAGAATGGGATGAGGGAATCCTTTATCCCTGCTCTTGGAGAAGACACTGGTACTCCCACTATTCTCCACTGAGGCATTCTGCATCCTTAATTTTATCACTACCTAATAGAGCTAAAAAAAAAAAAAAAAAAAAAACCCAGCATCCAACCAGGGAT